AGAAGGACGACATCGTCAGCCGTCGCAGTGGCGCGGTGAATGTCGGCGAAGAGACCGAACGTCGGCCCGGAGCGGATGCACAGGGCCGCCCCGGTGGACTCGTCGGTGGAGGGAGCGAGGTCGGAGTCGCGATGGGACAGCGCGTCGGCCACGATGTTAAGACGGCCCGGCCGATACTCGACGGAGAAGTCGAAGCCGAAGAGCTTGCTGATCCACTGGTGCTGCGGCACGGTCGATAGCCGTTGGTCCAGCAAGAACTTCAGGCTGTAGTGGTCCGTGCGAATGTGGAAGGATCGTCCCCACAAGTACGGCCGCCAATGACGAACGGCCTGTACGAGGCCAATGAGCTCCCGCTCGTATGCCGCCAGCTTAAGATGGCGCGGAGCGAAGGGCCGGCTGAAGAAAGCGAGGGGCCCATCGCCTTGATGAAGCACGGCGCCGAACCCGGCGCCCGAGGCGTCACAGTCCACCACAAACGGGCGGTCGAAGTCGGGCATCTGGAGGACGGGGCCTGTCGTGAGGGCCCCTTTGAGGGCCTCGAACGCCGTCGTCGCCTCGTCGTCCTAGGCGAAAGCGTCGCCGCGAAGCAACCGCGTGAGGGGCGCCGCGATGAGCCCGAACTCCCGGATAAATTTCCGGTACTAGCCGGCAAGGCCGAGGAACCAGCGGAGAGCCCGCGGCGAGTGAGGCGTCGGCCATGCAGAGACGGCCGCCACCTTGTCGGCGTCCATAGCCACCCCGTCGGCCGAGATGACATGGCCGAGGTAGGCGACGGTAGGTGTCCCGAACGAGCACTTCGAGCGCTTAAGGTGGAGGTGGTGCGCCCGAAGCTCGTTGAAGACAATGGCGACGTGCTGGAGGTGCTCGGCCCAGGTGGTGCTGTAGATAAGAATGTCATCAGAGAAAACAAGCACAAACCGCCGTAAGTAGGGTCGAAGGACGTCGTTCATCAGGGCCTGGAAAGTCGCCGGGGCGTTGGCGAGGCCGAAGGGCATCACCAAGAACTCGAAGTGGCCATGGTGGGTGTGAAACGACGTCTTGGCGATGTCGTCTGGATGCATGCGCACCTGATGATAGCCCGAGCGGAGATCGAGCTTGGTGAAGAAGCGCGCCCCATGGAGCTCATCCAAGAGCTCGTCGACCACCGGTATAGGGAACTTGTCCTTGAGCGTGAGCGCGTTCAGGGCGCGATAGTCGATGCAGAAACGCCACGTGCCGTCCGTCTTGCGGACGAGAAGCACCGGTGCGGAGAAGGGCGACGTGGAGATCCGGATGATGCCTGCCGCGAGCATAAGGGCACACTGTCGCTCCAACTCATCCTTCTGCAGCTGCGGGTAGCGGTAGGGCCGAACCGCCACGGGGGTGGAACCCGGTACAAGGTGAATATGGTGGTCGTACACCCGGGCGGGCGGAAGACCCCGAGGCTCGTCGAAGAGATCGCTGTGCTGCTGCAGAAGGGGATCCAGCAGGGGGTGCTCGGCCTCCTGGGACGCGGCGGCCAGCTGGAGGTGTGGCACGGCCGGCGCGGCGCCCCCAAGGCCGTCCCACCGGATGCGGCGGCCTAGCCGCCAGAACGTCATCGTGAGCACGTCGAAGTCCCACAGGATGGGCCCGAGGGTCCGGAGGAAGTCCACCCCGAGGATGAAGTCGAAGCAGCCGAGGTCGATCCCTGCACAGGTAATGGAGAAGTGCTCGCCACAGATGGAGATGGGAACGTCGCGGGCGAGCCCATGACACTGGAGGCGATCACCGTTTGCCACCGTGATCCGCAGGCGCTCCCCGCTCGTGGTCGGCAGTGCTAGCCGACGCATGGTCGCCGCGGGTAGGAAATTATGGGTGGAGCCAGTATCCAGCAGGGCCACCAGCCGCTCGCCATGGACCGTCACCGGTAACAGCATGGTCCGCTCGCCACGGATGCCGGCAAGAGCGTGGAGGGAGACGACGCACGCCGTTGCCGTAGAATCCGCGGGCGCGTCCGCGGCCGCCGCGGGTGGTGGCTCGTCGGTCGAGTTGTCCGCCTCGGTGTAGTCGACCGTCTCCAAGTAAAATAGGCGGGGGCAGACATGGGTCGGCGAGTAGGGCTCATCGCAGTTGAAGCAGAGGCCCTGACGGCGGCGCTCCTGCTGCTCGGCCGGGGACAACCGACGGAAGGTTCGGGTGGTGGCCGAAGAGGTGGTCGCCGAGGCTGGAGGGGGCCGGCCAGGTGATGGTGCGGGTCGACTGGGAAGGCGGCCGCCCCGGCCGGCCGGTTGCTATAGCGCCTGAGCCCGCTGCTCGAAGGCCCGGGCGTAGTACATGGCCGTCTGGAGGTCGGGGGGATCCCGGAGCTCGACGTCCACGCGGATATGGTCTGGTAATCCGCCCACAAATAACTCGGCGCGCTGAGTCGCGGAGACGCCCGGCACATGGCATGCCAGGGCCTGGAAGCGGTCGGCGTAGTCCTGCACCGTGGATGTGAAAGGCAAACGACCGAGGGCCGCCAATCGGCTCCCGCGAATAGGAGGCCTGAACCGGAGGAGACAAAGCTCCCGAAAGCGCTCCCATGGTGGCATGCCGCCCTCGTCCTGCTCGAGGGCGTAGTACCAAGTCTGCGCCGCGCCTCGGAGATGATAGGACGCGAGCCAGGTGCGATCCGAAGCGAGCGCCCGCTGCCCTCGAAAAAACTGCTCGCACTGGTTGAGCCAGTTGAGGGGGTCCTCCGTGCCGTCGTAAGTGGCGAAATCCAGTTTGGCGAAACGAGGGGGTGTCGGACCACCGTGCCCGGGGGCTGCAGTAAACGGCAGCGCATGTGCTGGGTCGGGTATCTCTGGGGCGTAGTTCGCCGAGCTGGAGGGACGATCAAATTGGAGAGAGGGCATCGGGTGTTCCGGCGCCGTAGTATACACCGGGTCCGGAGACGAGCCGGTCACCCACGCGGGAATCGGCGAAGGCGAGGACGGAAACTGCACCTGGTGCGGGGGCCGACCAGTAGGCCGGGACGCGGGTGGTGGTGCTGGCGATGGCGGCGGCGCCTGGTGGTGCGGCTGCACCGGCGCCTGCGTCGTGGGGGCCGGCGGTGGCGCCGGGAGGGACTGCTGAGGCGGGCCCCCCAGCGCTGCGGCGGTGGTCGGCCACGCTGGCCAAGGCGTTCCCGCGGCCGGGTAGTGCGGCAGCAGGAGCGGCGGCGGGGGCGCCCCTCCGTAGGGCGCCTGGAAGGCCGGGGCGGGCCACTGTAGCGGCGGCGGCCCATAGGCGGTGGTGGCGGCGTTCGGTGGCGGGGACTGGTGCCCGGCGAGGTAGAGGCTGATGCCTCGGACGGCGTGGACGAGCTCCCGCAGGGTGCCCGACATCTCCTCGGGCGTGAGGAGCGGGGGCGGATCCGCCGTGGTGGTGACCGGCGCCGGCGCGGTGGTGGTGACGGTCCCGGACGTGATCGCCGTCATCGGCGCGGAGGTGGCCGGCGGCAGCAGTGGTGGGGCGGAGGTAGATGGCAGCGGCGGCGGTGATGGAGGAAGCGACATGATCGGCCTGGTGTCTTTGGATACCAAATTGGTAGGACTAGGGTCCCTACCAGGCCTCCGGCGTAGGTTGTATGGACAGGGAGGAGGGGGACGGAGGCTGGAGCGGGCGCGCCGGCGGTCGGGCGCCGTCGCGGCTAGGGTTGGGAGAGGCGGCTAGGGTTCCGGCTCCTTGGGGAGCCGGAAGGAGCCGGGCAACAGAAGATTATGATATCTTTATTGCTTGATCTCCAACGGTGTCTTACAGCTAGTATTTATAACTTTAGCCTAAGATAACTTGCCTAAGATAACTTGCGGGACAAGCCCTAATACTAATGCCCGGTGGGCCTCTTCCTGGTATAGACCTGTCCGGTCATAACAGGAGCACATCAGATTGTCAAGATATTCCCAATTTTTCACTGCCGAGATCCCTATCCAAGCCCCGGCAGTTCCAAGCGATTAGCCTCATGGCGCCTTAAGGGCTGGCGCCACTTCCCCATCCACATCCACATCTTCATCGTAAGGATCTCAAATGAATTTAATGTCTGTAAGTAGATTTTTTAAGTTGCTTTGTTGATTATACATTTATTTTATCAAGAACTGATTGGTGCATGGGAAATTCAAAAAAAAAAAAAAAGGAACTGGTTGATGCTGTGAGTGGATTTTGCCCTGATGCTTTTGCCATGGGGATAAGCTTGTTTCAGATTGTTAGGATCTCCCTAGTAATATGTGGACTATTTATTAGTTGCACTCCTACAAATTAGCCCACTCTCAGAAAATTGTTGAACTCATGGATATGTACTACAACTACACGCACATTGTTAACGAGTACTGTTCATTTTATGGTTAGCTAATGGAAACATATGTCTTTTTGCAGGATCATGTATCAAAGCAGTTATATCTCGTTGCCGGATTGCAAACTTGCGGTGGACTACTTGACTTCTTCGCCGGCCATAGCAAGGGTTGAGCTTCTACTGTCTACCAAGCATGTATAACCTTGATGGCTAGTTACTTTGCCAAACTTTGAAGACTAAAGACATGTAGTTCTCGTTTTCATCATTTGCTCTGTCGACAATCCAGGGAAAGATATTGGTGGCGTGTTTTTGGAAATGTGGTTTAGAAATTTACATGATGTTTCTGCACATAATTTGGTGAGCGTCAAGAGCAATATTTGTGTATTTCAACAGCTGCTTAATTGCCTGTGCTTAACATTTGTGTTTCTATGTTAGTATGTTTTTCAGGCATGCACCACATGGAACGGAACTTCTTGTGATGATTGCATATGTGGCTGCAGCATTATGACAGTTATGAAGATCACAATGCTGTTCTATGTATCTGCGATATCATTGTTTTCATAGGACAACCGTGTCATTTTACCTGTTTCTGTGCGCTAAATTGGATTGATCTATGTCGGCGAATCATCGATGCAACATGGCAAAAAAAAAGTCATTATTCCTTACAGCTGGTTAATTTACAGGAACAGTTAGATTTCCACTAGGTAAATAAATGTTTGCCTCTGGAGAGTCATTCTCCTCTGAAGTAGCAAACGATGTCCCACCTCCTCATGGCTCTCCCCAGCTGGAACTTCACAGGGAGGCACCCTTCAAACCCACCTTGATCCGCCCGGCGCTTGAGACTCCGTCGTCGTCGCCGCCTGTCTTTATCATCAGTGAGTCGTGCGCTCTGCATCGCAGGCGATGGGCACAGCGGCGGGAGGGCGCCCTCCCTCGGCGGGCTCTTGGGCTTCCCCGGCTCGTCCTCCCACCCAAACGGCACCTTCCCGGTCGCAGTGGAGTACACCCTCATAGACCGTCCCAGTTCATCGCTGCCGGAGCAATGCTGCAGGAGATGGGTCGGCGAGGTGGTGGCCTCCATGGATTTCGCCTTCGGTTTCTTCTGCTTTCGCCTCTGGTCGCGCACTCTCCTGTGATTTTGCCTGTGGTCTCAACTGTGATTTCGCCTCTGTTCCGACTCTCTTTGGTGCAACGGCACGGCGGAGGAAGACCAGTTTATATAGGGCTGGGAAGGGGTCGCCGTCTCCATGTTGTGCTTGCTAGTGAAGGTTTGCTTTTCGCAAAGTCAATCGCTTGGGTTTAAGGCTGCTAAACGCAGCAAGGCAGCTTTTCTTGTGCTTTGGTTTGAAGACCACGGCGAGGAAAATGAGTGGCATGGCCGGCGGTAACGGTGGCCATTACGGTTGTGTAAAGCATGGCAGGAGCGGCGGCCACGGATGGGTGGCTTGCTCCAGGTAATCTGTAAACTGGTGCACGTTAATGGGTACTCAGGAGACAACATAGCCCTACTCTAGAGATTTTCAATAGGTTACTATGGACAGGTGTGGTTGTCAGCTCATGAATTTACCTGCAAAAGAAGGAAACTAATGCTCTGTTTGGAAGACCTCCGCTCCACAGGTCCGCTCCCGGAGCAGGTGGAGTTCCAGTTGGAAAACGTGGAGCGACTGTTTCCTGGCTCCTCAGCTCCCGGTATTTCGCGGAGCCAGTGAGGATTCCGAACAGGGCCTAAGTACCGTAATGCCACAAAACGTCTTACATTATGGAACGAAGAAAGTAGTCGTAGAGTTGGGGACATGACTATTCTTAGCTCGAGCTCAAATGAGCTCGGATGGACAGTAAAAAAAAAAAAATTCTTTTTTTTATGCGGAACATTGACAAATGTTCTCAGTGCTTACAAAATTTCATCATGAAATCAGATTTATGGAAATCGTGGCCAAAAAAAAAAAAAATCGATGCTGTGCTGATTTTATTTTTATTGCTGCGGCTTTTCTGAATGTCATTTCAAAATGAAACTTTGCAAGCTCTCAAAAACATCTGTTAAAGTTTGCCAAAAAAATTCGTTTTTTAAAAACGAATTTACTGTTCATGGCGAGCTCATTTGAGCTTTCAAGCAGTTGGGGGCTTTGCCGTCTGTACTGTACTACACTGAGATATAAGTCGGTACAGAGAGTTACATAAAATGTTGCAATGCATTGAGGTGCATCCCAGAAAACTCTAGTTCACACACCAAGTTTTTCTCTGGCCATTTGCTTACTGATTGTGTAAAGAACAATCTTACTACTGTGGCTATTGAATGTCCTAGATGGGGTTAGGAGGAAGAGCTCGCCTCATGCAAGGTTGTCATCTCGCTGAAGCACACTTACAAGCTCCGGCCGTAGCCACACCTGTCCTGCAGCGCCGGTAATGGAAAGGCCCTTCCCAAATTCTGACACCTCGATCTCAATCTGTCTACATACCACCAGGTAATAGATGATGTTCCCAAACAAATGGAGGATGTGCATGGGAAACAAATGGGTAATTACAGAGTTGATGGCTTGGCACCTGAGGTGAGCCTCCTATTGTACACTCATGGTACTACTCCCTCTGTTCCTAAATATTTGTCTTTCTAGAGATTCCAACAAATGACTACATACGGAGCAAAATGAGTGAATGCACACTCTAAAATCCGTATGTGATAGTCCATTTGAAATCTCTAAAAAGGCAAATATTTAGGAACGGAGGGAGTACTTATCATTGTACCAGACCTATCAATCTTGTTTATGAGGCAACAAATCTAGCTATCGATGATAATAACATACATACAAGCTTTCATATCAATGCCTCACTAGCGTAAATCATATATAAGTAAGTACTCTGAGCACCATCAAACATAGTGCTCATCTTCCTCCTGAACTGCTTGATACTGTGCCTGCACTCGTTGAAGAAGGATATGACATGATGTATGAATCAAACCCTTCATTTTGCATCAAGGCCAGTGCTTGGAAGCTCTGGTGTGCTGGTAGCTCAGGTGGTTCAATATGCCCATCTAGCTTCAGTGCCAGATATGCCTCTTCGACATTGTAGTCCCCTTTAAGCCTCACATCTATTGCATCAGCGAGTGATCCTTGTTGCGCATGCTCAAGCACCCAATCAACCAACATGACCTGCTTATCTTGTGTGCTTTGCATGATAGGTCTTTGGCCACAAGTGACCTCTAGGACAAATATACCAAAGGCAAATACATCGGTAAGAGGAGTACCCTTCCCCGTGCGCCGTGAGGCAGCTAGCCATTAGTTAGTGCGATGTGCAGTGAAGTGAGAGATCTCTCTACTCTAGTAGACTAGATGAAATAGCTGCAATGACTAATGTTTGATTGGGAAGACAGAATACATACGTTGACGTGCCCAGTCGAGCTACCGTAAGGTAGTCTAGTTAAGGAAAGGAAACCGGCTATTCCCCTCACGCTAAGGGTGCGATTCCTTACTCTCCCACAAGATCACACTAAATACAATAGGTGCGTGATCTACTAGATTCTTATAGAATCAATTTACCAATGGTGCCAACAACACGAGTAGTTTCTTGCTCAACACCATGGTCATACAATCTTGCTAGACCAAAATCACCCAACCGAGCATTCAACTCATCATCAAGGAGCACATTGCTTGCCTTGATGTCTCGGTGGACAACTACTTTCTCCCACTCCTCGTGGAGATAAATCAGTGCAGATGCGATGCCCCTGATGATCCAAAACCTTTGATCCCAACTTAATGTGTTGTTGTCCACTTCACCATACAAGTACTTATCGAGGCTTCCTTTGGGCATGTACTCATACACTAACAGGAGCTCACCATGACGCCTGCAATAGCCAAGTAAGTGTGCGAGGTTTGGATTCTGAAGGCGGCCAATGCTAACAATTTCTGCGATGAATTTCTGCGATGACACCCTCTTCACAGCTATCCTTAGTTTGGACCTTGGCAGCTCTCCTCTGTATACTCTTCCAAATCCTCCCGTCCCTAGGAGATTTTTGTTATCAAATCCTTCTGTTGCGCGGAACAAGTCCTTATACGAGAATCGGTGCGGGCCAAATTCGACCTCCCAGTCATCACGTAACTCTGCATACCTGAAATGCCTCCGCGAGTGCTGCCGTTGCGAGTGGTAGAATGATCTGCAATACTGGTAGACCACGTCAATCCTTGGTATGAGGACCAGGAGGTAGTTTTGGCAGCATGGTGAGATTGATGGCTGGAGCAGGACTGTTCAAGCCAAAACTCCAACCGAGCACATAGTGCTTCGTGTTTATCTTGCCTAGTGCAGCTGAGAAGCCGATGTACGCCACATCTGTGAGCACACTTGAGAGGTTGCAGTTGGCTGATACTGTTGGCTTTGTAGGTTTGGCCATGCCGAGAGGAGCCATGGTGGCGTTGATCTGTATCTTCTCTCTGTGGTAGTCCACCCACAGCTGCATCGGCTTTTGGTCATCGAGACCCAAGCTCTGGAAGGTGCCATTCTCGTCGTGGTAGAAGCCAGCATCGTGGGACTGTACGGAGCGGAGGCTGTTGATGTCGATTCCGATATGGTTGTCGTTGATGTCCTGGAACTCCAGGTGTCGAGCTCGACTGCGAAGATGTGGTTTGTTTCGTTGCCATTGTTCTGGTGGTTGACAAGACCCAAGAACTGTATCGGCATCGCCGCTGATAGATTCTTGCTCGGTGCAATGAACATGGCCATGCCGTTGCTGCTCAAGTAGTCGTTGTAGATGGAGGCAATGGCGAAGACGAAGGACACAGAGAAGGACTGTACAGTCCCATCGGACGAATTGTGGAAGCGCAGCGGAGTCGGATAGAAGGCGTGGCCCGTACTCAGGGCGGTGCCATTGGTGAGCACAAGTAACCCGTCGGGCGTGACCGAGGCCGTACCGTCGAGGGTGAGATTAGCTTTGGAGAAGCCGGAGAAGCTGAAGTGGTGCTCATCGCCGGCGACGGGCGGTGCCACGGCAAGGCCAAGAGAGAGCAGTAGTTTGAGCAGCAGAAAGGAGACAGCCACAGGCTTCATGCCGGGAATGGGTGTAGGCACGAAAGAAAAATGGTTGTGCGTGCATGTATGGATGTAATTTTACTTGGGCAGCACCAAACCTTTAACTCGTCTTGCGTTAGAGAAACTTGATGCAAAATTCCATGCTTGGATGTAGTGTACTTCTTCCGTTCCAAAATAGATGACACAACTTTGTATTAACTTTATCCGTGACAGTTTGTGGTAATACTCTCTGACTGACTTTTAGCCACTAAGTTGGGATGATGGGAAACTGGCAGCTCACACTTGAGTCTTCAGAGTGCCAACTCTTCAGAATTGACACGATCCCCACCAACCTTTCCTAGTCGTCTGATGCTTGTGTTGAAATTTATTGTGCCGTTACAGCAACGGCGCATGATCTCAGTCAACCTTTTCTACTATTCTGTGCAGTAAGTGTGGATCACCCGACTTAAAAGTAAGCAGGTACACCCAATGATAGACCGTTGGACGCATGGTTTTCAACGTTCTACACCAACTCAAATTTGGTCTAGGAAACCCCACGGAACAGTATTACTGTATTACCTGAAGTCACATTTTCCACATACACCATCTTGTTAGAAACTGTCAAACTGACGGTTTCTCAAGGTCCATTTGTTGTATTTCCATTACGAAAAATTGTGAACACGACATCATGAAAAGTAAGCAAATAAGGTCCAATGCCGAAACTTGCATCTCATCTTCTCGCTGATAGCATTTCTATACACACTAACTAAAGAAGAAAACTGTGGCTAGGATGACTTTGGCAACCTGAAGTGTGAAATTGTGAATTGCCACGTTTCCTACATCCCTATGTAATCTTCCACAAGTCCAAGCCTCTTCTACAAGTCCAAGCCAGAGGGCAGCACTACCTAGAATAATATCGAGATTATACGGCAGATTCAAGTTTGAAATTCATAAAAAAAATAATTTTAAGTTATTGTCAATGTCAAGATGCCACTGTTTACCTCTAGTCTGACAATTCAGAATTAGTTGACTGAAGACTACAAAGTTTATTAAGATCCTCAGTGGTTACTGCCACGGAATTGTGGTGGAAACAGGTGTTGGATAAGGTCGTCTGCCATTGCTTTTCAACAAAAGAAAAAAAAATTGACAAACCCCTGCCGACTGCCGTTGCTGTAACGGCATAACAATTCAACACAAGAAGGTAGGAAGATTGGTGGCGATCCTCTGGACTTGGAACTATGAAGTGTGAGCTGCCAATTTCCTGTCATCACATGGTAATCGTCAGCAGTCACACTTAGAGTGCATTATGCAATTATTATGCATCAAATTCCCCTTTCAGTTCTTGTCTATCTTTAAAATTCAAGTATACTCTCGGTTCACTTGTCCCAGTTTACATGACAAATGACTATAAAAGTTTGTCAGAGATGCCCCGCTGTTACTGCATTAGCACACTAATTTTTAAAGGCAGCTAGTAAGCAAAAACATGGGAACAACCCGAGAAGCAGGAATGTGTGTTGTTGGATCACTCAAAAGGTATCCCGAATTCCCAATATGTCCAGAAAAACTAAGAGAAATTGTCACCCGCTTGCCCAACGATCACTCTCCATCTTGCAGAACTAGGATAGTCGCAGCCGCTGTCGATGGGCATCCCATCGGCATCGCCGCTTCCCACCGAGGATCCTACCGCCATCGTTACTTCCTGCCGAGTCGCTCTCGTGAGAGCGGCACAGGGCCTTGTCTTGCGGTTGTCTTTCTGTTTAACTCCACACGCTAATTTCCAAGTTAATCCAAATCAATATTTTTGTCTGTGACGCAAGCAAACTACCACACGCGCTCTTACCTTACATTGGTAAATATGGACCAAATCTCTGCTCTTTTTAAAAATAAAATTCCATGATGTTCTTCTACAAAAGCACCGATAGATAATGATTACCTCATGTATGTTGAAAAATAGTGCATAGAATGGGCGTAGGATGTTGAAAATTAGCAGCATGGACTTCGAAGGGAGCTTGATGTAATTATAAAGCACGCTGCTGTGTATAACCTTAAACAAACTTGCAGAGTTGCAATGGGCACTGAAAATCTCATTCGATCGAGCATACCTCATTGAGTAGTTGGAACTTCGGAGCCACAAACAGCTTCCGTCGATGACAAATAGGAACCGTGCACCGTTCCTTCCGTCCCTCCTCCTCCTCCTCTTATTTGGTCTCACCGTCGCAGCCTTTGCCGCGGGCGATGACCAATTCATCTTCTCCGGCTTCACACAATCCAGCCTAGCCCTCGACGGCGGCGCCGTGGTCACACAAGGGGGCCTCCTCGACATGTCCAACGGCACAAACAATGTCAAGAGCCATGCTCTTTACCCCACTCCATTGCGCTTCCGCAATTCATCCACTGGTGGTAAAGTGCAATCATTCTCGTCCGCCATCGTTTTCTGCATCATCGGCGCATTCCCTGGCGTGAGTGCCAATGGCTTGGCCTTCTTCATCGCCCCAAGCAGGAATCTCTCGGACGCGTTGCCGACGCAGTACTTTGGTATCCTGAAGCAGCAAAACAATGCCAACCTCTTTGTTATCGAGGTTGACACCTTCCAGAACCCTGACATGCAAGACATCAACGACAACCACATCGGCATTGACATCAACAGTGTTTTCTCCTTGCCATCTCACGCGGCTGGCTTCTATGATGACTCTAGTGGCGCCTTCAAGAACTTGACGCTCAACACCCAGATAGAACTGCAGTTGTGGGTGGACTACGAGGAGGAGGAAACAAGGATCAATGTGACCTTGGCTCCACTTCATGTGGGAAAACCCTCCAAGCCACTGTTGTCCGCAACCTATGACCTCTCAACCGTGCTCACGGAGACGGCATACATAGGTTTCTCATCCACGGCTGAAATTATGAACACCCGTCATTATGTTCTTGGATGGAGCTTTGGCATGAACGGGCAAGCAGCCCCGTCCATTGACATCTCCAAGCTTCCAAAGGTTCCTCGTCTACGACAAAAGGCCCAGTCCATGCTCTTGGCGATCATCCTCCCAATAGCCACTGCGGCACTGATAATCTCTATCGGCACCATTGTCACTCTGATGGTGCGAAGAAAGAGGAGGTACACGGAGGTGCGTGAGGATTGGGAGAGCGAGTTCGGTCCACACCGGTTCTCGTACAAGGATTTGTTCAAGGCTACTCAGGGATTTAAGAGCAAGAACCTAGTTGGAGCAGGAGGGTTTGGGGAGGTATACAGAGGGGTGCTTAAACTGTCCAAGAAGGAGATTGCCGTGAAGAGGATGTCCCATGAGTCGAGACAAGGGATGAAGGAGTTCATCACCGAGGTTGTTAGCATTGGCCGGTTGCGACATCGCAACCTAGTGCAGCTACTTGGTTATTGCAGGCGGAAAGGTGAACTGATGTTGGTGTACGATTACATGTCAAATGGCAGCCTTGACAAGTATATACATTGTCAAGAGGACGACAAGCCCACCTTAAATTGGGCTCAGAGGTTTCAAGTCATCAAGGGTATCGCTACCGGCTTGCTCTACCTCCACGAGAAGTGGGAGAAAGTCGTGATCCACCGGGACATCAAGGCAAGCAACGTCCTCCTCGACGACGAAATGAACGGGCGGCTTGGCGACTTCGGCCTCGCACGGTTATATGATCATGGCACCGATCCACAGAGCACACACATGGTGGGCACAATGGGATACCTTGCCCCCGAGCTAGTACGCACAGGCAAGGCATCTCCTCTTACCGATGTGTACGCCTTCGGCATGTTTCTTCTCGAAGTTACATGTGGGCAAAAGCCCATGAAG